TCTTTGAATTGTCGTACCTCCATCATAAGCAATTGTAGGTCTTTTGCTGGTATAGTTTCACTCTGCGCTCTGTCGTCGTCTTGTGAGTCCTGCGGACTCACTGCTGCTGCACCTCTATTTCTATTGACACCAAATGTCTCTCCAATAAGCAACCGCTATGCACTTAATGATTGATTGATGATTTTGGACGAGGTTCTGGTGATTAATGGCAGAAAATTCACCCAAAACGCTGAACCAAAATTGTAAAGACTGGAGATGAGCATTGCCAGTATGAGGGTATCGACTCTGTTCATGTGATCATGAGGTCCCAGCTTCGAATCCTGGGTTGGGCCAAAAGAATTCAGTTACTGAGCTTTTTCATCAAGAAAATTCTCAATAGCTGCCCGCAGTCAGAAAGTTGGCGGTTTCTCACCCCCGTGCCTTGGAAAGCACGTAAAACCCTTGGTCCTGCGCCTGAACTCTCTCCGGTCGTGTCGGTTTACCGTCCCATCAGAATAGTGAATGTACTTATGATTGCGCATACACTTGGGCACTATAATTCTGTGCTGCGTCGAAGGCTAGTCTCCGTTGAGGCTGACCACCGTGTTAGTAACCAATCTATTATCTGTGATGTTAGTGCATTTGGCTTTTACAGCTTCATCGGACTCATGACCATACGAAACACAGCAGCATTAAGCTGCCATTTTACGTTAGTATTCTGTGAGAGAGTGGTCCATCCCCGGTCGAGCCGACCCATTCGTGCTACAACTGTACTACTAATATAGCTGCAGAATGACTCTACCACGTACAAAAAGAAGTTACGGAAAACTAACCGTTACTTAGTGCACAGCTTATTAGTGTACATAATGCACGTACATTAAATTCGTAGAAGTAGAAGTTTTTGCTCTACCCTCCAAACCTTTACAGTAAATATAAATATAAAAGTCCAGAATCAGATTATACATGTTTGATAACGCACCTAATTTGAGCCGGCTTGGGGCTTAGCGCTCGCTATTAATTCCATAGTATGCGAACAACCAATGAAGTAATGAAAGTTTAATACTAAATGTTTATTGAAGTACAAAAAAATGTTAAAAATCAATTTCGCATCAATTTTACGAGATAGAATTGTTAGGTCCTTTTTGTGTAAAATTATAACCCAAAAAGTTGTTTTATATCTGTTTTATATCTATACTAGCTGTGGCCCGCGGTTTTAACCGCTTCATCACGTGTCCGAGGTGCGCGACATGACATGACACTTAGTGCAAGCATTTTATAATATTTTATTTGAGGTATGGAAAAATTGGCATAATTAATGGGGTACTTTTATCTGTCGGCATATTATGTATGATGTAGAGCGAAGTTAAGTTTTATCCACTTTCCCTCCCCTTCCCGTTTGAGCGTCCTTCCCCCCCCCCCCCTCACGTCCGAGAAAGTGTCCCGAAGCGTGGTTTTTTCCAGTTTTAAAGAAAACCGTACACGATACATGGCTTATAAATCACTTTCTAATTTTCAATATTTTTTTGTCACCTAATTATGACTTATGCATAAGAAATAGACATATGGTATCCCGGACTTTTTTTTAGACGGAGTAAAGATCTATATTTTTCTAGAACATTGTATTTACGTATCCCTAACCATAACACCAGCGTACGCGGATAAATCATTTCGGGAGCGCTTTTTCTTCTGACTTGCTTAACAAATATCCATATTTAAGGCTAGCTGAGTAATATAGCTTAATGCTAGATAGACTATACTATTCCACATGAATCTGGCTATAATATACGAAAAGAATTTTTCAAATCGGACTGGTAGTTCCAGAGATTAGCGCGTTTAAACGAACAAACTCTTCCGCATTATTATATTAAAAGTAAAGTATAGATATTTTATCAGTTTTTCGATTAAAAATTAAAAAAAATAATCCTACATGTTTTTCGGACGAAATATTGTCTATATTACTCCTGGATTGCTCTTATATAGAGAGTTTGCGAAGTTTCATCACAATTTGCTTAGCCATTTCGAAGATAGGCCCGGAATGACAGGCTGATACAAAAACAGACAGGCAGACAAAAAAACTATACAGGTCATAAGGATGCTAATAACCCCATGAGCTTAATAGAAGACAGTTATTTGGATATATAGATCAAATATCTATACGTGGCAATAAACCAGCCATACAGAAATCGAAGGAATACCACTAACATTTTTTATAGTATAAGGGTGACAAACGAGCACACAGTCCACCTGATGGTAAGTGTTTGCTGCGGCCCATAGACATCTACATCTATTCGCGATTACGAGTAGTGTAGTTGTACCACTTCTAGACCACCTGAGTCAGACGTGGTTCAACGACGTTCGTCGACACACGATCCTAAAAAAAAAAAAGGTTTTGGCATGCTCTGATCACGAATCCGCGGTCCATTTTTGTGTAGAATGCACGGTTCCGGAGATGTGTAGATCAATTAGCTAATATCTAATTGATATCCGTCCGGTAAGGGCCTCCACCGTCATTAGCGTCCCATTGTTCCTATTTCTATTGTTCTATTGTTCATTAATCACCTTCATTGCAGCGTGTGCGTCGACTATATCAGTGCTATTGTATTATATTTCTTTGTTCCTAATTATACAACGCTAATCTGAATCATCAATAAAACACATTACATAATTTTGTTACAATTTTTATTTATAAAATACAAAATCTTATTAATTATTATCTATAAAATAGGAGCGAAACATCTCATCCACTAAAATATCGTTGTACAATGTGTTCCTTGTAAATATACTCGTAAAACTATGTATTGAACATCCTTGAAACTTATATAGCAAATACATTAAGCAATATTCGCCACAAACTGAAGTCCACTCATTCTGAATCCTATCAACATTCCAGTTCCATCTTTTACAATTCCTTTTTAAAAACTCTAGATGATATCGTACAGGTGATCGTCCATATGAATCAAAATATTGACCGACGCCATTCGTATCGATATATAAAGCTACCCAATGTGACCCTGGTTTATCATCTGTATCCAAATTGCATATTATATACGTTGGTACGTGGGTATACATAGGCAGTCTATTAGCTGCATAAACATTATTTTCTAGACTGGGGTGAATCTTTTTCAGATGTTGTTGTACATCTAGTGTATCCATGATATTACTGCTATTAGTACATTATTACAGTAACAATCTACTCAATGAATAACATAGGAATGGTCAATTATAGTGATTTCTAAATATTAAATTGCATTTTTGTGTTATACAAATCGTACTTGAGTCATTGATCACCAAACAAAACACAATACGAAGAAATGTTGAGATAGACAACGGAAATGTGAGATAAACTGGTTGACGCATAAAGTAATTATCAACTCATTACGGAAATACTTTAGATTAGAATTTTTACGTACTGGTGGTATATAAGACCAACAGACGCAGTCATCGAGTTAGTGTACGGTCGTTTGACTACAGTGGATCTATCAATAGTACATTTGTGTTACTTCAATACACCAAAGGCTATGGATGTAAGTGTTTATTCTATTGACTAAATTACTTTTTTTCTGTTATTTTCATGTGTGTGTATTATTTTATTTAAATATTGTGTATGTATATGATTAAGCCGTGGTAACTCAGATGGTTAGCGCTAGCTGTAAATTTCACAGTACGCGACCCGGGTTCGATCCCCGCCAGCACGAATTAAATTGTTAATCGCAATTTTAAGTGCTTATTACCACGTGCTTGGTGGTGAAGGAAAACATCGTGAGGAAACCTGCATGTCTGAGAAAATTTCGAAGGCATGTGAAGTTCGCCAACACACATTGAGGGAGCGCGGCGGACATTTCCTTGCTCTAAAACCCTCTCAGAAATGAGAGGAGGCCTATGTTCAGCAGTGGACTTTAATAGGCTGTAACTTTAACTTTTTTAACTTTTATGATTAAGTGTTAACAAATTGATATTAACATGATAACTGTGTTGTTGCAGAAATCATTGAGCTTCGATGAAGATACCTATAAACAGTATTACTACTCGCCACTCTCCCCTCAAGAAGAGAGTGATAACCTCGTCATTAATAATAACACATGCGATGGTGGAAAAAGAAAATCGCAATCGATTGATCATTTTTTTGAAGCTGAATCAAAAATAAAAAAGAGGAAGCTGTTATCATCAACCGTAGCACGAGCCGCTAGAGATGGTGTATCATACATTTCTACTAATTCTGACGACGGAGACCAAGCGACGCATCTCATCAAAATTGAAATGTACGATATGAAGAAGCTATCCAAGATTCCAACTACTGATCATTGGAAACATGCTTCCACGAGAATTAAATATTACGTAAAGACTAATAAGGATAGCATCTACGACAACACAAACGCCCTCGTATACAATATAACAAAGACAATAGCAGAAAGTGAAAAAGTTAAAAAATACTTTTTTAACAATGACAGTCATTAGCTGATCATTAGTGAATGTGATTCTGTTTACTTCAATTACAGGAAGACAAGAGCAGAAGGAAGAGATGAGTCTGGCATACGTGTACAAAACACATCATTGAATAACAAAACTACAACACTGAGTGGAGAAGAAAACGAGAAGAGTATGCAGTACTCAAGAGCTGAATATCCATTCTTCAGTTCAAAATCTAGCCGTTTGCTTAGTTTCGAAAACTGGCCTCTCGTTATGCGACAGAAACCTGAAGATCTTGCAGAAGCTGGTTTCTTTTATACTGGCCATGCAGACGGGACCAAGTGTTTCCATTGTGGTGGTGGTTTAAAAGATTGGGAAGATGATGATGATCCTTGGCAGCAGCATGTTCAGTGGTTTAGTCAGTGTGCTTATGTAAAATTTCAACTCGAACAGTGTTTTGTATTAGATTAAATAGAAGATTTATAAAGAAATAAAAAAAAATATATTGCATACAATTTGTTTTATTTAATTTTATAACGTTTCACATAGTTACATACACACAAAATGCATTACACATAACACATAAAATCTAACACACAACACATATTATAACCTTAACTACTATAGTCTACAGTAACATTTCTGTTTTTATCTATCTCAATAATATTATCAAACTCAGCATAAACTATACAGTTAATTGTTTGTATTAATGAGGATTCAAATCGTACTTCTATTCTTACACTACCATGCTTTATGAGATTCCAATGAGTTGATGAGTTAGCTGATAAATCAGGAGTTAAGTCAAATGCTAATAGACAGTAACCTTTGCCATACTGTTCACAAGAGATTCCATTTCCTTCATTAAGAAAGTGAATACCAGTTCCCGAGAATAGAGTATGATATGCTGATGTAAATATGCTATTATTAAAAGATGGTTGCAAAGCTTTTGAAGGTATTTGTTGACCATCAATATATAAGCTGAAAGAATTAATACCATAGTTTTCAAAGTTAAATGGATTTTTAGTAAGGGAACCATTAAATGCAGAATTGTTCACAAATCCAATTATACATCTTTTCGGTACCTGTCCTAAAAATATATTATCAAGAGTTTTTCCTTGAACACCCGAAGGAATTGTTAAAACTTTTACTTCAGCTCGAGTAATAGGATATTTAGCAGTGGTAGAAGCTAAAACTTTTTGATGTGCGAGTAATACACTTGGATTAATTCGTGCTCGTCGAACAATAAGAGTTGCGTCCGTAATGCAAACTTTAAACTTTACATCGTTTGACCCAACAATTAAATTAAAACTCTCTCTTGATCGAACCAATTTAACACTCATTTCAACACCATTAATTAAAAATTTATCTTGGTTAAAAATGTCACCGTGAAGATGACCAATCATTTCTATTTCCTTACTTTCACTAATCAATTCCTGTCTTTTAACAAATCCTATGTTTTTACCATCTGTAGAATCCATTTTTCCTGCTGTATCCTCATACCAAAGACTACAAGTAAGATGAGATTGTTTAGCAGCAGGGGCATAGTTTAAAAGGGTTTCCATGTATGCTCGATATGCATAGGTATTATTAGGTGGTGATACAAGTTTTTGGTTTAAATAAACATCAAGTTGACTAAAAAGTGAATGCAGCCAATTATTTACAGGTGCTACTATTGTAGTAGATACCAAGTTAGTTGAATCTTGATTTAATACTTTTGCCTTTATGTGGAGTAATGTATGAGACAAATCTATGTAGTCATCGCCGGTCCCAGGAACTTGAAACTCGATAGGTCCATCATCACCAAGAGATGAAATTGGTTTATAATGAATCCACAATCCATTTTCAATGCTAGTTTGTGTAGACGGTAGTGCAAACAAATCCAATTCTGACTTAACGCACTCACAAGAATGATTATCAAGGAAAGACATATTTAATTTGAAAATATATCTTTGATATTTTTTGGTTTTAGACAAAGTTTTTTCGCAGCTTTCACTTTAGCAGTTAATGGTGGAATGAACGATGTCAATCGTTTTCTTTTAGTTTTATACCCAGATCCAGTCATGTTAAATTGATCAATTTTCTCATCAGCCTTTCGTTTTAAATTCGTACTAACTTGCTTTAGACGATCTTTTATTGAGGCTTCCATAGGACGGGCTTGAACCATATCCGATAAAAGTCCTACTCCAGCGCTTAATGCCTCCTTACCAATCACTCGAGCACCACTTGAAAGTAAAGGTAAAACTGATCTGAATAACCCCCCTAAGAAGCTCCCAATACCATGACCGCGTTGATATGGTGAACCCTTATAAATTACTCCAACTCCTGATCCAGCTTGATGTGTATAATAATTTTCATATGGACATTTATGATGATCACGAAGAGAATTCATTATTATAATTTTCGGAAATGTAGTTTAATACACATGGTTCCAAACTGGAATGGTATTTTTTGTCCTGTACTCGATCTTATAACTATTTCCAACGTATCGAACTCTCTTCGCATAACAGGTAAGTAGTGAGGTTGAGAGAAAACGTGCATTTTATTTGCACCATAAATGTATTTTGTAGGATCTAATGAAATGACTCTTAATAAAGGAGTCATAACATCACCCACAATCTGAGGATCGATAATGTCGCAATATAGAAATAGTTGAGATGGTAACCCTAAGTGTAAATTATTAGGACACTTTCCTAAATTTCTCTCTAGGAGATTTTTATTTGGTTCATAACCTAGCTGTAAACTTAATTTGGGTGATAATGTTACGGATGTTATATTTTTATCCAATACCGAAATAGACACAAATTTTGTTATTTCATCATAGCGAAATTTCAAGTTCTCTCCGATACCATTTAACACTCTTAAAATATGCTCAACGTTATCATAGTTGGTAGCTGGAATATGTTTTTTGTAGTACACTGTGGATGGTTTATCTTCATTAGGCATTATCATAGATTTTGTAATGTATATAACATTTTCATGGTCTTGAACAGTAAACATGGTACATGGATATTGAAACTCGACAACTCCAACCGACCATTCACCTTCTAATTTTATAGCTTTTCGTAATTTCGTTGAAAAATTTGTGGTCTTGTTATCAGGAAAGTATTCCATTGAACTATTGCTGAGCAAAGTTAAATAGAAACTTTCTTTATTCATATTTCTTTTAAACTAGAAGCTAAAATCCAACTGTTAAATTTATCTGGATAACCTTTCCACTTCACTAATACTTCTTTTCTGTTACCTGAATAACGAGTGTCAATTATTTTATCTATTTTATGTTGTGAGGTGGGGTTGTAAGTGATTTTCTGTAATTCTCTTTCATAAAAAGTACCAATTATAGGTTCATTTTGTAAATCTGTTATTGTATAAACAACCCATGGAGATCTATCAATTATTGAAGATATAATAAATATTTCATCACTCCAATTTGATTCATATCCTTTTTGGAATACATGTTTATATTTAGTTATTCGAACATAATCACCCACATTGAAATTTGATTTAGGATTTTCTAAAGAAAGTTTTTTTGACCGTCTATCATAAAGATTAGTCCAAACTGTCATAATATTGTTGGAATTTACATCACATGGGCACATCTTAATACTAGAGTGAAAGCTGTGATTATAAGAGTATATTAAATCTTGTAAAACATCTATATATCTATAAGTATTATTATGAGTGAAATAACGCCACATTTTCATTTTTAGTGTTCTTTGAAATCGTTCAACAATACTAGCCTTAATGTCAGGATTGTTAGTGGTATAGTAATTAATCTTTTTGGATTTAAAGTATTTTTGTACATCTTTTGAAACAAATTCTGTACCTTTATCGGATTGTATGTGAGTAGGTGTTAAATTACTTTCAGTAAATATACTTTCAAAACATTCTTTAGTTGTTTCTGAGTTTTTCTTTTTCATTGGTCTTGCAAAAGCATATTTACTAAATACATCAATAATACAAAGTATATACTTGAAACCATCATTATATTGAGAATAAGTTCGCATATCACTTAAATCAGCTTGCCACAGTTCATTAATATTTGATAGAATGTACCTATTACGCGGGAATTTTTTTCGAATGGGTTTATGTAATGTGTATGTTTCTTGTGATTTTAACCATTCCTTTACTTGCTTTTTATTCATTTTACCCTTCATGGCTTTTGATAATTTATCAATACTACCAAAACCAGCGGGATTAGATGGATCATAATAAATCCTGTTAATTTCTTCTAGTACGGGGTCCATTTTTCCCACTCAAGTCCTTTACGTATTTTAGTTGTAGACTTTTTATCTCTACTGACCGGTGTAGAAAACTCTTGAACTTCAATCTCAGAGGGTTTGTTCAGATCTTTTGCTTGAAGTTGGTTAATAAACTCACATCTCCTTGGATTTCCAATATAAGTAAGTGGTACTTTAATATCTTTTAATGCTTCAGCAAATCTAACCCACCCTACCGGATCACTTCTTTTTAGGGGTCTTAGTGAATCATTTATTAAATCAACAATATTACTTCCAGGAATTTTTTCACTATCAATTATGACTGAACCTTCATTATCCCAATGTATTTTACTTTTACTTGTTTCAACTAAGTTTAATAATAACTGCCCTTTTTTCTGATAAGTTTTTGGTATTAAACTGAGTATTTGAGCTGGTGTGTAAAGTGGATTTTCATCATTTTCTTTACTTTTAATGGATCGATTCTCCTCCAGCAAAGATTCAATATCAACTGAAGTTTTTAGATCTCTATCTTTATTTTTAAAACCAATTTAGACTCATTTGAATCTTCATTAGATGTATCAGAATAAATTGGTAATTTGAGTGGTTGACGATCCTCTTCGGTAAAATGAAGGTATCTTTGCAGTGTTTGTAAATATAATATCCATTTCTTTCGGTCTTCCGTCTTACTATTCATAATATTTTGCATTTCAATATCTAATCGAGATAAATTACTATTAACCTTATTTTCTTGTTTTAATTTTTCAATCAATCCAGGTTCGATAAGTATCATTTTCTTTGCATTTTCCATGTTAACTGGCTAGTCCACTCACTAATCCACTCAATATTGCACCTAATATTGTTGGTAAGAAAGCCCCTCCTTTTTGTATAATTATATTTTTTCTTAGTTTATGTTTACACTTACGTACTAGTTTACGGAGTATGTTTTTATGTTTATTCAATTTTTGTTTATCCTGATCTTTAAGAGGTACTTTTCCTTGTAAAACGTTATGAATACACTCACAAATACAGTTAATTTCTTCTTCATCACACGTTTTAAGTAATGCTCTTTGATATTTTGGTTTAAGCGTATGCAAAGCGGTTAGCAAATGTTTATACGTTGTGAGTCGACGATGCATCATTTAGCAATGATTTCAATTGTTTGATTCTTGGTGTATTTAAACTCTTTTGTGGGGACGTAGACTGTACAGAAACCATTAAATGGAAAGACATTTGTCTTGATACGACAAAAATCATTGGTATTCTGTTTTAAATCTACCATTAAATATCCATGCGCCTCTAGAGTTGCATCCCTGTAGGCATTTTCAATGAATTTTGGGTTATCTGGTGATACTTGTCTTGCTAAATATCTTATTTGAGTTTTATCTCGAGGGTTTTTAAAATATATTATATAACTTGAGTTTAAAGATATGTCTCTTTGTCCTTTACCCTGATGAAATAAATTTTGTGTTAGATAAAATACACTAAGATTCCTGTGATGACTACCTTTTGTAAATATATCCACAATTCTTCCATCGGACTCTCTCATTACATCATCAATAATAACAAGATGTGGGTTTTCACCATCAAACATATTAAGATTTGGAATTCCTTGATGATAGTTAACATTTGGTAAATTATATAATGGTTGCATTTCATCAAAGCACCATGTGATTTGATTAAAATCACAATTACATATTTCTGTAACTGATTTTATGAAATTTGTTACAAAATTTGACTTCCCACACCCACTTGGTCCTGCCACAATAGCAGTGAACGGATGGATAAAGTGAAACATAACACACGTCTAAAGTTCAAAGGGGTGAAATAAAAAATGAAAGTGTTGGTGTAAACAATTAATATATATTCCAAAAATTATATAAAACAGAATTATCTGTATACTATTTCTAACACAATTAGTACATCATAATTTTACAATTAACTCAACCTCAAATAAATAGAAACAACAATTAGTACATCATAATTTTACAATTAACTCAACCTCAAATAAATAGAAACAACAATTAACTTAAATTATTTACAATAAAACAATGATTAAATATGTAATAAACTACGTCATATTATATAGTATTATCATAATTTTACAATCAATATAAATTTTTCTTAAACGCAGACATAAAAGTAAAAACTATCAACACTTAACGCAGTTTATAATGACCCCAAGCTAATGTTTCAATATTATTATCTAAAATATGTCTCTTTGTGTCATTATATGATAAACCTATCTTATTTAATTTTTGTGTGAAAATTGTGTGTTTAATTGATTTAAATCTAAGCATACTATAATATTGCACTTTTTTATTAAATAGAGAAGACTTATAACTATTCATTGTCATCTTTTTAGTGATACATTTATTTACCCCTTTTACCTTGGCTATAGTCTTATTCTCTAAGTTAAAAGCGTACATTTTGGATCGTAAACCCACAAATTCTTTCATGATTTTACCATTATTTTCATCTTTAAAAAAACCTAATTTCTTTTTATTTAATTTTGGATATTCAAAAATATTATTTGTATCATAATCTGAGGTATCAAAGTATGATGAAAGGTCAGGTTTTATATCAGTGTAAAAATCATTTGTAAATATATGATATATTAAACTATCCGTATCTGTATACAATAATTTGATTTTAGTAAACTTTTTAATCATATAGTTATAATGAAAATCATACATTAATGTTTTTGAAATATC